CTGAGATATTTAGAAATGGGAAGAAAGGAGCTAAAGGTGTAGGGAAGGTGTGATGGGTAGGGGAAGGGTAATAAGGGAAAAGAAAAAAATGTGAGATAATGAAAAGATGGAAATAAAGTGTTTGTAGATGTTGAGGGGAGAAGGGGGTGAAGGGAGGGCAGGGACAAGGGGAAAAAATGAGAACCAAAGCATGTCATGTAGAAGTACAAATTCCCAACAATGAATCTAACTGTACTGTATCGCTAAAATGTACCAATAAACTCAAAGCTGAAAAAAAAATAATAACCTATTTCAGGGCTTGCAAGTTCTATCCTCTACAAACATCAGAGTACAATTTAGCCAAGTTTTTTTTCTAGTTTGTCACAGACATGATATTTTCTTCCTTGTTGAATGACATGCTTTTTTTTTCTGTCTGAGACCAGAAGCAACTCTAATATTCATATTTTACCAATATTCTGCTCATGTATTTTACCAAAATTCTGCTCTTTATGTACTGAGAAGATGTAAGCTTTCTTTCCAACCCTTCTCTTCTCTCTCAGCCCTCACCAGAGACTCCTTTATTGCTTATATTGCTATCAACAGTCCCTTCATGGTAACAGGCTTTTCTATATAGACCTTATAACTACTTCAGCCTTCACCCATTAACCAGTTCAAAGCCACTTCCAAAGGGTGAGTTGACAAGCTGGACATAGATTAAATAAATGTTTACAAGTTATACAGTCTAATGAGTTACCACCTATTGGAAAGTCAAGAACTCAAAAACATCAAACCTGAGTAAAACCTGAGTCTAGCATATGTATTACATTAGTTTAAGAGTTTTTAAAATTATATTTATGGGCGGCGTGGCTAGGCAGCATCCCAGAGCCTGCAGTCCCCACTGGTCACTTTCCGCTGACCCAACAGTCATTAGTCCGAAGAGAAAGTTTCCAGAGACTACAGAGGGCAAAGATGGATCCAAAGTAACTAAACAGGAACCCACAAAACGGTGTGCCATATTGTCCGCGAAACCTGCTCCACCAAAACCTGAACCTAAACCAAGAAAAACTTCTACTAAGAAAGAACCTGGAACAAAGGTTAACAGAGGTGTTAAAGGGAAGAAGGAAGAAAAGCAGGTAGCTGGAAAGGAAGGCGCTACACAGTCTGAAAATGGAGACACTAAAGCTGGAGAGGCGCAGAAAACAATCTGTAGATAAGGAGGGAGAAAGAACTGTCACAAAAAGTTGGGGTGATTTTATGTGCCTCCTGGGACACCTTTTAAAAGCTACTTTTACTAAGCATTTTGTAAATGCTTATTTTTTAGGTCTCTACTAGTAGGCAAACAAAATACCTAAGGATGTACATTTTACCCTCTCATAGTCATGCTTTTTGGAAGTTTTCATCATTATCAAGTAAAATAAATACCACCTTAACATTGGAAGCTGTGTATAAAACTGAGTGAGCAGTCCATGCACCTGCTTTAAGAATTTAGTTCTGGGCATTACTGTGAATTTGAATTTTTCATGCAATTTTTCTAGAGCAATAATCAGTGGTACTTTTGTACCTAGGTTTTCTGTGATTTTGACGAAACATGGATAGTTGAGGCCACCTGCTATTTGTGGTTTAAAATAAAAGGTTTTCTTGTCTAAAAAATTATATTTATGATATACTCATCAAATATGAGATGTTTAATGTTCAGAAATGAGGTTGGTAATGCTATCCTCTCTACTCTTTCATCTAATTAAGTCTTTACAATAATTTAAAATCAATATTTTCTACTCCAGGTAAAAGTGACTTCAGGGAAGGACATGCTACTGCCTCAAAATACAGGTTTCAACTCATTTTCTACATTGGTGTACCTGTGATAATTATTGCTGCTGCAATTTTCATGAAGAATACATTAAGAGAGCTGTACTACAGAGGTGGAAAAGAACATGAGAGGTAAGAATATTTGTGTGTGCACTTTACTCATGAGTATTGAATAAGTAAAAAAAATGAAGTTTTTTATTAGGAACAGCTAAGATTATAGGTAAGGCAGTCTTAGGAGAGTCACAGAGGTAACCTGCAAGCTGGTTTGATGTTTACTAAGTTTTGCAGTCTTACTCATCACTAACACCGCTTAGTTTACCACCAGAAACCATGCAGGAGGCATCCTGTATGCCAAGGAGGTTTACTTAGCATCCGAAGTCACCAAGCCTCTCAAAATAACCATGCTGCCCACAGGCTTTATCAGAATAGGTGACACTGAAAAGCAAGGAAACACACACAAAAATGTATTACATACACACTCTCAGGTCAGTGGGAAATATTTTTATTAGAATACCTGCTTGAATTAGAGACAATATCTTTGAGTCTTCTTCCACACTGTGGTTGTAAATATCAAAGCTGTTCTTTAGGAAAGCAATTACTTAGCTGGAACATGCATGTACAGTTACTAATATCAGGTTAAGAGATAGAAGGTGGCGTTATATATTATTGCGAAAATTAAACATTTAAAAAAGTTCATTTACCTAATTTACAGTATTCTGCCATGGAAGTATTTACTTATAGTTTTACCTTCCAGAAATTAATAAAAGAGAAAACATGAGTATGTTTTGCAATAGGAAGATTTAGAAAATCCATAACAACTTTAATGGATGCTTTTTTCTAAAGAATTATGAAATTATTTAATAAATAAAGTGAAATAACTAAGGTGGAGAGTACCTAGAAATAGAAATGTTTATAATTTGGTCTGCAAGACAGTTTTAAGCTAGCAGGAAAGTACAACTTCTTTTCTCTTTTAAACACTGTTAGTGCTCAAATTAAAACTGAGCTTGCAGAAATGATTAAATCCATAGCATGGCTTTAAAAGTTCTTAATATTGCTTAATGTTTATTGCATTATTATTGTAGGCTTCCTACATTTTTTAAATTTTAATTTTTTTTAGACATTGTCTCTCTGTGCAGTTTAATGAGGCCTCGAACTCACTGTGTGGCCCAGGCCGGCCTCAAACTCATGTCAATCCGCCTTCAGCCTCCCAAGTGCTGGGATTACAGATGTGCACCACCATGCCTTGTAGTTACTTAAATTTTAAATAATGTCTTAACTGAACATAAACATGTAAAAATGAATATATTTATGGAATACCATGTAATATTTTTACAGATAATTTATTAAATGCAACTTTATTGTTTTGGCTTAATTTGATCTGATGTAGAGATATCATGGAATAAGGGGCAGTGCCTATACATATGTGTATATCACAAATACTGAAGGAATATGAAGTAAAAAGTCAACAAAGGAGGGTAATTTTGGCACTTTATCTAATATTGAAATTGTACTTGTTTTGTTTTGACTTACCCTGAAAGAAGACATTTTATTTATGTGATGCTGTTATATTGAAGAAGAGATTTCAAATAGTCCTCTAAATTTTGAGATGATTTTTCAACTTTAAAACAAATTTTATCAATTTTATAGTTCTGTGTCAGAGGACAGAAGCAGGAGCATCACATCTTCCACTGAAAGGTGAGTGTAGAGTATTTAAATCTAGAAGGATGTTGGTGCCACCATCCTAGTATCTAATATTAATATATAAATTGTGTCCTTTATTATTAGCATCAGCAAGGACAGTTATATTTTGATGACATTTTGCTATCATATATGAGATTACTGATATTCAGGGATTTCACATCCACTTGCAGTTATGCTATTATCTCAAAAATTGCTGATATTAATATAGAGTCTTGGGATTCATTCATTTTATTGTCTTCCATCATCTCAGTAAATTTAGAGCTCAGATTATGGAAGAATCAAACAATTAAATGAAAGTAATTTTATTTTATTTTCCCCATTAAGTTTATTGGTACATTTAAAGCAAATAACACAGTTACATTCATCATTGGGATCTTGTACCTCTACATGATGTCTTGATTCTTGTTTCTTCCCGATACTCCTACCCTCCTTTTAACCCCCATCCTTCCCTATTTACAAAGACTTTGTTTCCACTTTTTTCTTTTCTCATATTTTTTCTTTTCCCTTATTTCCTTTCCCCTACAATTTCCACTTCCCCTTTAGCCATTTTCTTCCCATTTCACACCTTGATTATACCATTTAAACCTTATTTACACTTTTAGTTTTTCACACCAGAGAAACTATTTGGTATTTACTCAAGCGTGTCCTATTTATTTCACTTAAAACTATAGCGTCAATGTGCATCCATTTAGCTATACATGTTTCTAGTTTCTCATTCTTTATGGCTGAGTAGTACTCCATTTTGTAGAAAAACCACATCTTCTTTATGCAGTCTCCAACTGATGGGCAATTGGGCTGTTTCCAAGTTCTAGCTATTACAAACTGTGCCGCTATAAACACAGGTGTACATATATCACTGTGGTATGATTCTTTAAATTATTTTGGGAAGATACCCAGCAGAGAGATAGCTGGGTGAAATGGGACATCTAATCCTAGTTCTTTGAGGTATCTCCATACTGATTTCCACAGTGGTTGCACCAGTCTGCACTCCCACCAACAATGGAGAAGGGTTCCTTTCTCCCCACAACCCCACCAACATTTGTTATTGGTTGATTCCTTGATAGCAGCCATTCTTTCTGGGGTGAGGTGGAATCTCAGTGTTGTTTTCATCTGCATCTCTCGAATGACCAGTGATACTGAACATTTTTTCATATATTTATTTGCTTTTACTTCTTTGTCTAAGAAATATCTGTTCATTTCAGACACCCATTTTTGAATGGGATTTTTATATTTGGGGGGCCTGAATTTTTGAGCTCTTTATATATTTTAGATAATTATCCTTTGTCTGAGGAGCAGCTGGTAAAATTTTTTTCCCACACTGTAGGTTGTCTCTCAGCTCTGTTGGTGCTTTCTTTTGCAGTGCAGAATTTTTTTTTAATAAGATGAGATCCCAGTTGTGTATTCTTTGTGCTAGTTCATGTGCTACTGTTCATAAACTTTTTTCCTATGCCAATATCTTTTGGAGTTCTGCCTAACTTATCTTCCGCAAGTTTAGAGTTTCTGTTTTAATATTTAGATGTTTAATCCACTTGGATTTTTGTTTAGTGCCTGGTGAAAGATAAGGGTCTAGTTTTAATCTTTGGCAGGTTGAAATCCAGCTTTTCCAACACCATTTATTAAAGAGGCTATCTTTTCTCCACTGAGGATAGTTGGCTCCTTTGTCAAAGATGAGGTAGATCCGTACATCTGGAGTTGTTTCTTCATCTTCTAATCTATTCCACTGGTCCTCAGGTCTTTTTCTTTGTCAGTACTGTGCTGTTTTTAATCACAGTGGCTTTGTAGTATAGTTTCAAGTTGGGGATTTTGACACCCGCCCCCCATCGTGTTCTTGTTTCCTGGAATGGGTTTTGCTATTTCTAGGTCTCTTCTGGTTCCAATGAACTTTTGGATAATTTTCTCTAGTTCTGTGAGATATGCCATTGGAAATTCAATCAGGATTGTTTTGAATCTGTATAGCAGTTTTGGGAATATGGCCATTTTCACTATGTTGATTCTTCTGACCCAGAAACGGGATATCTTTCCATTTTCTTATATCCTCTTTGATCTCTTTTTTTCAGAGTGCTATAGTTTTCAGTGTAGAGGTATTTTGCTTCCTTTGTTAGATTGATTCCTAGATACTTCATTTTCTGGATGCTATTGTGAAAGGAATTAATTCCCTAATTTCTTTCTCAGTGAGTCTGTTATTTGTGCACAAGAAGGCTATTGATTTCTGAGTGTTGACATTGTATCCAGCTACTCTGCTGAAAATGTCAATTAAGTCTAGAAGTCTTTTGTTGGAGCTTTCTGGGTCTTCTATGTAGAGTATAAAATTGTCAGCAAATAACAACACTTTAACTTCTTCTTTTGTTTCTTTTGACATCTTAAGAGGAGTCCTGGTGCCAAGCAGAGCCAGGCTGCTATCATTTCTCTCTGCTTTTCTTAATTGCTCCCTCTAGGAAGGGTTTAACTCTTTGTAGTCAGAAATTTCCAGAAACTTCACTGAGGCTCTTTCCTATCCTTTCTCTGGATACCAGCCCCAAATTATAATTTACATCTTTTTATCTTGTGTATTTCTTAATAACTTATAGTAGCTAGTTATTTTTGACCCCTTTAACCTTTGTACTCTGTTCTCTTGTCCCTTGGTAGGGGCACAACCTTATCTCACGTGCCCAGGATCATAGCAATTCCTTGAGGATGGTTTGGGATGGCAGGGATAAGGCTTCTCTATTGTGATCCTTGTATGCAAGAGACAGTGGTTACCATGTGGGCTTGGGTGTAAGATGCTAATTCAGGGGTGACAGGTAGGACCTGGTTTGGTTCAGTCACTTGGGGACTCATCTGCTTCATAGAGCCTGTGCTCTGAGTAGCTAGAAATAGGTCATAGCGGCAGCTGGGATGAGGGAGATGAGTGACTCCTAGCAACTTGTTTCCAGGGGACACAATGACACATTACTCAAGCATGATGTAGTGATGGCAGAGCCCCAGGAATGATGGCGTTCACTAACCACTGGCCTGGAGAGCAGGATTTACTGAAGCCATGGTTCTAGTCTTAAGGTTATGCAGTGTGGTAGCAGTTTGGACCACTGTAAGTGGGGTACGATATTCAGAGTTATTCTCTGGGTATATTCCAGGCAGCTACCCAAATGTTCCCTTTCCTTTCCCAAGTTCCTATGCTGACTTTTTGGAGTCCAAAAAAGTCAGGGGAAGGGATGAAGATTAGGAACCTCTAGTTGACCAGCCAGTGAAAAGTGTCTATGACATAGAAGAGCAAACAATAAAATATTTTACTTAAATTGCAAAAGAAAAAGATAGGGATAGTATCTGTATGAATAATGCCTTTATAAAAATTATGCAGCTCAATAGTGAGATGGAAAATGCACACTAAAAACAATGTGATGCTCCTAAAAACTGGGATGGCAGCTTTTATAAAAACTTACATTGTCACTTGCTGAGAACATAGAGTAATCAGAACTTGGGCATATCCTTGAGAAAGTCTACATTTGCAAATTACATTGGGAAAACTTTCAAAATCTAACCCCAGCTTCCATTTGTTGGTGCATACTATTAGTAAGGTGTACACATATGTACCAATAGATAACCACAAGAATGTCCACAGTAGAACTAATTGTAAAAACAAAGTATTGGAAACAACCCAACTTTAAATCTTACTGTCCTCTTTCCCTTCATCAATAATGTATATACAGTAGGTAGATCTCTAAATATTTAAATGCAAGGTTTTTTTTTGTATAAATAAGCAGGAAGAATTACGAAAAATTTCTGAAAGTCATGTGCAAGAAGAGTATGTGGTATCCAATTAAATCTTAGTATTAAGTAATATGAATTAACCTATACACTTTTTATTTTCAAAACATTTTTTTCTGATTTTAAGGTACTATGAATTATATACAAAAATATCTAAGAAACCTTGGTAGATACATGAATTAAGGTAAAAATTCTTATATTCATAACACATATAGGTTTCCAGTAACAATATATGTACATTTAAATATTTTTCTAATCAAAACACTATTAAAACTTACATATTTTCAAGGGTATGACAAGTTTTATACCTTAATATATAGGCTTTGATTATCATTTTGTGACATACTGTTTAATTTAAAATAAAAATAGTTATTAGGAATATTTAAGCTACTGTTTTTAGTTATACAATAAACACTACAATAAACACTAGTTCATGTACACATATTTTACAATTGCATAGTTAGAGCCTGAAATCAGAAAATTCCTTGGAAAAGAAGTGATCAAATCATGCATACCTTTCTTGCTTATTTATATCTACTGCCAGATTAGCAGTTCTTTTGTATGAAGTTGTAACTTTGTAAGTTATCTATTTTAAGTCAATTAGGCATGTGAGTGGTATACTTTCCAAGCTCTAGCATATCTAAAATTTTATTTTCTTTCACTATTCCTTAAATTTTCTTTGTAATTTTCCACTATGTCATTTAGTAATGAACCATTTCTATACTAAGTATGAGACCAGAAGTAGAAAAAACTACACAATATGGTCATATGGAATTAAGAAAATTTCAGACATTTTTAGCATTTTAGCATTTTTAGTATATTTAAACTTTTCCTGTCTCCACTGATTTTTGTAATTTAAATCATTATTTTAGACCTAACTTTGTTATTTAACTTGCATTTAAAATATATTATTTATTTTGATTTGAAAATATTTGTCATTTTCAGCTTTGTACTTAATAGTTAAGTTTAATTATTTTTGCTTATTTGCTTCATTTTTCATAATTTCAAAGGATGATTTCAGCTTATAATGGTATTAAAATCCTTGTCCAGGAAGAGAACTTGAAATGCATGAATCTTGGGCTGGGGATTTAGCTCAGTGGTTCTGGCATCTGCCTCATAAGCACAAGGTCCTGAGTTCAATCCCTAGTACCAAAAAAAGAAAAAAAAAAAGAAAGCAAAGAAACGCATGAATCTTGTCCCTTTTGTCAATCTCTTCTCACTCCCATTTAAAAATAAGGGTCTGCAACAGGGCCGGGGATTTAGCTCAGTGGTTTGGAGGCCTGCCTCGCAAGCGCAAGGACCCGAGTTCAATCCCCGGTACCAAAAAAAAAAAAAAGGGTCTGCAAAAAATGAAATAACCTTTGCCAATCCTAGTCCACCCAAGATAATCACTGTATAAAGTTTTCAGTATATGGTACATGCACATAGGTGTGTGTACGCTGGAGTTTTTAACCTAAATTAAAATACATCTGTAGATAAAATCACCACTACTTTTTCACTTTTTATTCTAAATCAAAATGTTTCCAAAATGGAAATTCCCAAGGCACTTGCTTTCTTTATTGACCTAAATAGGTTCTAAACTTGGACAAACAGTAATTTAGGAAGCTCTTGTATTAAAAACTTAAAAAAGAGTGTATGAAGTTGATAGCAAGTACTTGTTTTATCCTAGAATGTTTTCTTTTTAAAATTTTGCCCTTCAATCACTTTTATTTTTAATTATTTGAGTAATAAATATGTTTTCTATAAAAAGGGTGAGCAACATTGGCATTTCGTGTTTTAGTTTTTCATACAGCAAGGCTCCAGCAAACTTGGAATCTAACGCCAAGACAGATGATGTACCAAAACCATCAGAAGTGGCCTGAATCAAGAGGGAAATACAGTTTCTCCCTTACCACTGTCATTACGGAAGGGTTTGAACGATGTAAGAATAAATCATCTGCTACTGAAACACCCAACTTGTGTCTGGTATCTTGTCTGTATTTCAGTTCCACTTTTTAACCTTATTTACCGTAGTTTATGCTCAAAACAAGCTCAGAATCAGGCAAGGACAGCTTACAATACTTCTCCAGTGAAGTCAGCAAGTCCTGCCAGTTCAGTCTTACAGCTCAGCCTAGCCAGGGAGCACTCTGACCTCTTCCCTCCGCACTGCAGATTGTCCCAAGTCTCCCTCGCTCACTCTGACTTCCCCACTCTCTTGAAGAGCTCGTAGCCTCCACCTAGTCTGTGACTTGTCCCGGTGACATTTCTGAAGATAGGAACTGAACTGAGCCCTATGGGGTACTGCTTCTCCTCTTGGAGAGCTTCCTGTCTGCCTCTGTGTGTTGGAACAACTGTTTACCAAAGTTAGATTTGCCACCAAGCCAAGGAAGCAGAAACTTCAACGGCACCTACCTACACAACCCTTTTTAAAAGTCACGGATATGTTTGTATGCTTAGTGTCACCCTCAACATGGATGCACCTCCGCTACTCATTAGTTTCCTCGACAGTGGGGCTGTGGAGCCAGTTCACATCAGCTCACCAGGGCACATCATTAAATTTTCAGGACTAATACAAAGCAGGCATTAAATAGCTTTTATTAAAACATTATTTTCATTTACATTTATTAAAAACTAATACTATATTTTGTGGTTATTTAATCTGTATGGTGGAATTACTGTGCAGTATTAGAATGTGTACTTTACATCTCCTCCAATTGTCTTTCTAAACTCATCAAATATTAGCTTGAAACTGACCTTCACTGAAGTTGATGAACTTATAAATCTGGGTACTTATCCCCCAAAGGGTCAACTATGTAACATTTATCAGCATGCCTCAGCCTTCAGCTGTCTATGTTTTGTTTCCCCCAATAGTTTGTTGGAGGTACTTTTTTTGGTAAACATGGTACTAACCTATTCCTAGCTCTTCCTGGACCAAAATATCTAGTTGTCTGGGTCTCTAGTAAGTCTGATATGATTTGAAGAAGATCTGGGAGCCACATTTGTAGGAAGTAAAAAATGTATTTCACACATGCTCTGTAATGGAAGGTAGAGAAATTGTTGGTTATACTATCAGAAATGGTTAAGGCTACCATGTCATAGTGCAAGGATTTTGCCCTTACAGTTCCAAATATGGACGACCTGGAAGGTCATCCTAGAAGGAGAAAGGAACATCAAGACAGACAAAAATCTCCCAGTTGCTGTGATTAACTTGCAGAATTTTAAAGGACTAAAGTAAATAAAATAGTCAAGTGGCTCTGGGACAAGTTAAGTTTGGAACTTATGCAGGAGCATTTTTTTTTTCACTGATCCCTAATCTTAAATGGTAAAAAGAGGAGAGTGAAGGATTTTCATACATGGAATAGAAATGTCTTGCAGAAATATCTTTTTGCTTTTAGGTTTGAAAATGGAGGTTACTGCTGTAAGTCTGAAGGGGATACCAACATTAAAAATTTTGCTTCCTGAAAGAAGTCTTCCTTTTTAACCACAATTCCATTCAAGCTGGGTCAAAGGCCAATGAAGATTTGGAAATTCTATAGTTGCATAACACTTTGAGAGGTTATTCTAAACGGTGAAAATGTATCTTTGTAATATTGTATCAATAAAATATGTGCTACTTTGCAGATATAAGCTGCTATGGAATATTTTAAAGGAGATGTACATTCTCAAAAATTAAAATATAATGTCACAGACAAGATCTTATCCTTGACCTTTTTTTGAAATTACTCTGATGAAATCATCACTTAACCTCAATATTGTTAACTTTGTGGAATTTTTTCACTCTCTCTTCCTTTCTTAGTTGAAATTTGATTATTCCAATGCCTAGGAGAAGGGTGGAGGGCATGAAGGGAGGGCAGGGGAATGGGGAAATAATGAGAAGCAAGATCTTTCATGTAAAGGTTCAAATTCCCAATGATGAATGTAACTGTAATGTCTACCTAAAAAGTACCAATAAACTCAATGAGAGAAAAAAAAAATCAGCAACCGAAAAACAACACAATGATAGGAATCAGTCAATACCTTTCAGAATAAATCTTGATGTCTCAACTCCTAAATCTAAAGACACAGACTGGTAGAATGTATAAAAAACACAACCCAGTGTTATGCTGCTTAATATTTAAATAAGTCCAAAGATTATAAATCAAAGGAAGAAACAAGTTTTCATGCAACAGGTGCCTGAAAGCAAACAAGTAGCTATCCTATTTTCAGAAAAAGTAAACTTCAAGCCTATATTTATTACAAGGAAAAAATAAAAATAAAAAGCACTTTTGGTAACAAGAACAATTGAACAGAGATAACAACTGTAAATATACAGACAGTGAATATTGACATACCAAACTTTGTAAAACAAATACTACTACACATAAAGGTTCAGATAAGTAACAACACAATCATTTTGAGAGATCTCAACAACCCATTTTTATAAATGCACAGATAAACTACTCAAAAAATCAACGAAGAAATAGAGTTGATTCATAACTTCAGACAAATGAACTCAATAGATCTCTGTAGTGTTTAACCCAATGACAGCAGAATACCATTTTTCTCATCTGCACATGGAACTTCAAAACAGACCACATACTGGGCCATAAATTTTGCTTAAATAAATACAAAAAATCAAAATAATCCCATGCACTTTATCAGATCATATTACAATGAATATGATTACTAGAAATCAATGGCCAGAAATTATATAAACAGAGATTTAAAAAATAGGCTCCAGAGTAATTGCCAGAGACTCCTGAAGTAAGCATCTACTCTCCACCTGCCCAGTGAGTGACACAGGTTGAAGAAAAACTTAAGACAGAGTTAAAGAGAAAGTGTGACTTGGGATGGCCAATGCTCCTTTGGCAAAAGGCACTGGCCCATCTCTTCTACTCAGTTTTATTATTCATCAATCAGGGTAAAAGGTACATGTATAGATGTGCAATACATGAAATTTCCATGGAAACCAATGCAGGCAAGGCTTTAAAGAGAAGAATCAAAGCATTTTCAAATTTAAAGCAAGATAGACAAAATGTATGATTGTAATTAGAGTATTGTCCTTCAAGCTATGAAGGCACTAATTGTGGGGATGGAGTTTGGGTGTTAGCCACACCGCGTCATAGGTCATTACTCTGGTCTCGGCTGTGGCTGTTAGTTGGGGGGAGGGTCATACTGACCTGCACGCTACTGCAGTGCTCATGAGATACTTCTGTGAGTCACATAGCTTCAGTCAGATTCACTTCTTAAAGTAAGTCAATTGAGGGGTTTAACTCTGCAGCCGGCACTACTTACAGCATATTTTTGACATAATATTGCGGGCTCTGGCAAGTAATCACTGAGTCACAGGAGAAATCAAAGAAATCTAACACTTTCTAGAATCAAACAATAGTAATGCAAAACCCTGCCAGCATTTGTTATTGGTTGATTTCTTGATAGCAGCCATTCTTTCTGGGGTGAGGTGGAATTTCAGTAGTTTTCATCTGCGTCTCTTGAATGACCAGTGATGTTAAATATTTTTTCATGTTTATTTGCTGCTGATGTTTCTTTGTCTGAGAAATGTTAGTCTATTTCAGATGCCCATTTTTGAATCAGATCTTTATATTTGGGGCATCTGATTTTTTTGAGTTTGTTAAATATTCCGGATAGTAGATCTTTGACTGAGGAACAGCTGGTAAAAAAATTTTCCCACATTGTAGGCTGTCTCTTAGCTTTTGGTGATCTCTTCTGCAGTGCAGAAGCTTTTTATAAAGATGAGATCCCAGTTGTTGATTCTTTGTGCTAGTTCCCGGACTACTGAGGATTTGTTCATAAAATCTTTTCCTATGCCAGTGTCTTCAAGAGTTCTAACTTATCTTGCACTAAGTTTACTGTTTCTGTTTTAATATTCAGATCTTTAATCCACTTTGATTTTAGTTTAGTGCATGGTGCAAGATAGGGGTCTAGTTTTAATCTTTGGCAAGCTGAAATTCAGTTTTTCCAACACCATTTAATAAAGAGGCTATCTTTCCTCCAGTGAGTATGGTTGGCTCCTTTGTCAAAGATGAAGTAGCTGAGTATGTCTGGAGTTGTTTCTTTATCTTCTCATCTATTCCACGGATCCTTGGGTCTATTTCTTTGCTGGTTCTTTTTTTTTTTTTTTTCACAGTGGCTTTGTAGTATAGTTTCAAGTTGGGGATTGTGATACCCCCAACCATGTCTCCACTGCCAAAATGTTTTTTGGGGTTTTTGTTTGTTTGTTTGTTTGTTTGTTTTAATTCTAGGTCTCTTCTTGTTCCAAATGAATGTCTGGATTGTTTTCTCTAGTTCTGTGAAATATACTGTTGGGATTTTGATCCAGATTGCATTCAATCAGTATACCAGTTTTGGAAGTATGGCCATTTTTACTATATTGGTTCTTTCTACCCAGGAACAAGGGATGTCTTTCCATTTTCTTATACCCTCTTCTCTTTTTTCAGAATGTTGTAGTTCTCAATGTAGAGGTCTTTTGCTTCCTTCATTAGATTGATTCCTAGATATATCATTTTTGGGGATGCTATTGTGAAAGGGATTGGTTTCCTAATTTCTCTCTCAGTGAGTCTGTTATTTGTGTACAAGAAGGCTACTGATTTTGGGGGTTTGATCTCATATCCAGCTACTCTACTGAGTCTGTCAGTTAAGTCTAGAAGTACTTTGGCGGAGTTTTTTTTGGGGTCTTTTTTGTAGAATATCATATAGTGAGCAAATAATCACAGTTTTACTTCTTACTTTCCTATCTTTATTGCTTTTATTTCTTTCTGTTGTCTAATTGCTGTGTCTGTTTCCAAAACTATATTGAACAAGACTGGTGATAGTGGACATCCTTGTCTTGTTCCTGATTTTAGCATGAACATTTTCATTTTTTAACCATTTAGTGTGAGGTTGGCTGTCGGCTTTTCATAAATTGCCTTTCCAAGTTGAGATAAAGACCATGTATTTCTATTTTTTGCAGGGGTTTTATCATGAGTGAGCATTGAATTTTGTTGAAATCTTTTTCTGTAGCTATTGAGATGATCATATGGTTTTTGTGCTTGACTCTGTTCATATAATGTATTACATATATTGAATTATGTACGTTGCACCATCCTTGCGTCCCTGGCATGAATCCTACTTGGTCAGGGTGAGCCTCTGTTTTCTATTTGCCAGTATCTTACTGAGAATTTTTTTATCTATGCTCATTAGGGAGATTGGCCTGTAGTTCTCTTTTTTGGTTTGGTCTTTCCCTGGTTTTGGAATCAAAGTA